TATTTAGCTTATCCTGGAATTTATCGATGGTTTGTTGAGCGCATGTATGCAGGCTTGAGCTGTAGAAATCCCTGCAGGCACACGACATACTCTGCCTAAGTAGCGCCACCACTTAAGCGCTTCTCCCTCCAAGAGACATGACGTAGGAAGCGGTGGCCTCTCTGTATCGGGGGATGCTCAGTGAGGCGCATGTCCAAACGCCTGGCGAATTCTTCCGCTGCTTGCCCAAGGTCACGGCCGTTATACTCTTTGATCGGCATAGCCTCATCGATGAGTCTGTACACATTTTATCGGCTGTGTCGTATCACCAGGTCTGAAAATACTGCATTTTCATCATGTTGCAAACCGGCTTCTACCCCTCCAACAGGCATGGGGCCAACGTCAACTTCCTACAGAAGGAATTTTCTCACTAGACTGCTGCCAAAGGATATGAGATTATAGAATTATAAAATAATGTGTTTGATTCCAGACAGCTGCTGTGGAGGGACCTGACAGCCCACTGCAACCACTGCTAGTGAATGAAGGGGAAACAGTTGCATTGAATCATGCGGTGCTACCAACTGTGACGCTCCATAAAAAAATTTCGGAAGGAGAAGACTTAATACAAACTTATGTGCTGGTAAGTTAGGGAATGCTTTCTAAGACGAACCCTGACTTTCCCTTCCCCCACCCCTCTGACTTCCTAAGATGAGGGGAGAAACGCAGCTATGGTCGGCGTAGCTCAAACCTCTACGTACTCCGAGCACTTGCGCATCTCATCTAGCTCACACGCAAGGAGGATCGCGTCATCTTAAATCGAGCTAAGAGCACTCTGTAATAAATGCAATATACATACAGACAAACCAACTGGCCGACTGATTCTTAATTCTTGGCGAAACAAAAGTAGTTGTAGAAAGTGTTTGAGTGTACCTGACCCCGCTACAGAGTCTAGCACCAAGCGCCCTAGCTATCTTTCTCCCCTCATCTCGGGAAGTCCGAGGGCCGCACGCAGTGAATGGGGGGAGCCCTACTATTTCACTACACTAGGCTTTGCATTCAGTTGGAGGTTGAGTATCTCCCTCTAGAGACCCTGGACGGAGCGTTGGAGAGCCTCCAAAAGGAATGCATACAGAAAGTGCCACACTGCTCCTCTTACCCTGCATGCGTGGTTCGCATCAGACTTTCACAAAGACCTTGAACAAGCAAAACCCTTTTGTTGTGGTGCACCAGTGTGGATTTCCTGTACATTTCGTCGATTCGCGACGACTGAGGCCATTATTTCTTCTACAGCTCACAGCTGCCTCCACAGTTTAACTGTTCCATCTGTCGCTGCTGTGCAGAGTCTCTGTGATAAATGATCGGCCTTGACCACCAGGACGGGTGCATCGTGCGCCCGCCCATGGACTTCCTCTTGTACTATTCCTTCCTTCCCTTCTTCCTTTTTCTCGCTCGGCAATTTCATATCGTCTTGCTCTACTTCAGCAACAGCTCCCAAAAGATCCCATAAATACACGCAACAGTCTTCACTCCCGCTCACAGCGTATGGTCTCTGTGATGCTAGTTCCTCCGAAATTCCTCCTTTCGTTCGCGTGCTCCTCTGCACCGTCTCTAGCAGTTCATCGAAGGCCCTGGGGGGCTCTGGTGCCCTACTTTCAAGATCTGTAGAGAAAAGCGTTGCGGCATCTGAGCGGGATGGAAGCGGAAGGGAAGAGGAGACGAAGTCGCTACTTAGCCGTAAGCCCCCATCAGCCGTCTGGCGGTGTCCCCAAAACGCATGCAGACATTCCCCGCTTGTGGTCTCGATCAAACGTACACTTGCGTCAACACAAGAAATTAACAAGACCGTTCCATCCGCAGACAGAGACACGCTGAAGAGTGACACACGCATAGGCACACTACAGGTTTAGAAATCATGTCAAGAACCTAGTGATGCATTGTTGATGCCTTCGACAATGGGGGAAGAGGAGGATACTGGCAGACGAAGGAAGGGGTGGACGGAGGAAAGAGAGGTGCGACGCAGAGTGGAGATAGCAAGCGCTGTAGCTAACATAATATGGCTACACCTAGGTCACCCCATACAATGAGAGACCAGTGAGAGGTCGGTGCAGCAAAACAACGCTCATAACGCGACTACAGAATACGGAGACTTACAGTGTCTTACACACGCTACCCTGCTTCTTAATTTTATTGTATTATACGTTCACTTACCATGTAATTGGACTGCCGTAGCAGTCTGCATGCAGTTTGCCCTTGCGGAGGTCGTAAGTATATATACAGCCGTCAAGTGAGGCAACCAGTAGCATGTCTTGCGTTGCTAAAACGCTGAAAAAGGAAATGCAGCAGAGACCTTAAAAGCATGTGTTAAAATTGCCTGGATGCACACCCTTTGCTTCATTTAGATTCATTTTGATCTACCGCTCCACATAAAAGAGATGAGGCATCATAAGGAACAATGCAGACGCTGTACATAACCGAGCCACAAACATCTTTATTATTTGAGGTACAGATGCAGACCGAAGTTATTCCCAATACTTCTACAGAAACATAAATCATTGGACGAAAAAGTTCAATAGGCTTTCGAACATTCAAGGACACTGAAAGATAAGGACTTGAGAGCTGCCCGCATCTGCATGGCATAAACAGTACGCAGATTTCGAGTTTAACTGCAGTGCAGTATTCATAGTGACTGCGCAGCTAAACTCGACCTGCCGACCCGCTGTTTAATATTTGCATCCGACCCTATCCCCCTCTCCCCCTGATGCCTTGCCTACGGCCTTCAATCCATACTCACTAAATTCTATTCATGGATCTTACTGATCCATTGCCAAGGTCGCTCTGGCACAGTGTAGTAACTATATCAGAATTTAGGGGTAAAGAGACCATAGGACTTAAGGTTGAGAGTTTGGTGGTGAAGGCTGTTCCGACGAACTAATTTCGTCATTGCTTGCCTTGAGACGGCGTCCTTTGCGTCATTCAAGACCTGGATGTATCCAAATCTGTTGTCTCTGCTTCTGACGTCAAACAAACGGACGCTGCCCTCAGCATCGCCTAGGGCAGCAATGCGGTTCAAAGGACTCTGAGAGGGGCGGAGAAGGCAGGCGTGGATGGGGGCTGAGAAGAAAAAGAACAAGGGACACTGGAGACGTAGGAGGCGACCGATATATTAGTAGATTTGGAAAGTTCAACACGCGAAAAAGAGAAATGAAACGAGGAATTAAGCAGAAGGATAAGTGCGCGAGTCCGGCAACAGACGATGCCTTCCACGGAACCGAGTAGAAGACGCTCGTGGAGTTACACTACGTCCGCGGCAACAGGTAAAGAAAAGTGACAAGTCTTAAAGCCTCACAAGTTCGTGGAAACTGGCGCACTGCTCCTCCAGTTGCCACATCCCACAAAATGCCTGCGGCAGATGCAATGCAGAGAAACTGCAGGGCTCCCTCAACCTTCCGTGGGATCGACCCACACCACGAGCAATCAAACTTTAATGACAAACATGAACGGTTTGAAACTCAATGACGAGACCTCACCTCGCCTGTCCAAGCCTCCTGAAAGGAACAGCTCTGTGAGGGAGCTATCGGATCCAACGCAAGAAACAGCGTCTGTGTGCTCCACTGAAAAACAGCAACAGATGGAATAGAACGGGATAAAATTCAAAATGGTTTTAAAAAGGCCTTGAAGCTAGTCTTCATACATACTGTGCGTCTTTCTTTTTACCTGAAAACTCGTGCAGGATTCCGTGTTGCGCTCCGAGTAGATAAACCGTTTTATCCGAAGAAGCCGCCAACAGATGGTCAGCATCCCCAAAGAAACGAACGCAATTGATGGAGCTCAGGCCACAACGAAAGCTGCGCAGACACCCGAATTTCAGGTGGATCTGCTCCTTTTCTGTAGGATTTCCTTCATTGGTTGAATCACACTCCATTGAAGGCACCAGCGGGTAACAATATTCTCAGTCGCACATACAGCATGTACAGCTGCTGCTCTCATATACGAATAACATAATCAAGATGTGAAAACAAATGAATGTGAAAGACGCTCCATGTGTCCAAAACAGGACCCGCGCTCGAAGAGGGTAGAACAGAAAAACCGTTGGAGGCTGGTGTATTTCCCCTGGACCTAGAAGATTCTGAATAAATCAGCGGCTACTAGACCGAAATCGAGCTGTACGGAAGTAGTTATCGTAGCTTTTCATGATAGGAGTCTAAAATGAATACTTGCGCCAACGATAATGCCTGTCCAGTACAGAATCTTGGCATGCATTCTGTTCTGCCGTCCCCAACTTGCGTTTTTTTCAAAGCAAAAGCAGTCCCAGAGAACGTCCATTTCCACATATAGTTTGTACTGTAGGTCTTATTAATTAAGCAGCAGCAACGGCACTTACAGCAGCAGCAAGAGTGGTAGAGGGGCCCCTCGCTCAATCTTTCTGAATGGCACCCTGGGGCTGCCAGCATCGCTTCTGTGCCCCAGCTGTCCTATTTTCTTCAATTCAATATCCCCCTTGCTTTTCTTTTTAGGCACAGTTCGACTTCATGCCTCAGACTCGCGCCGGGGGTTCTGTTGTTGCCCATTGGGTGATACGTGCTGGTACGCGGCTGCGTTACTATGGCCCATTCCTCTAGGAAGCCACAGTTTTCCCCATCACCACTATTTGTATATACGGTTCATGCTATTGAGGTCTGCCTACTGAACTGCTCACAGTGTGTGTCTGGACTTCTGGGGCTTACCGTAGGCCGCAGCGCAGGGAAGAGTTGTAGTTTCTTCTCTTGCACAGACATTTCCTGAACATCAGGAACAGCAAATAGCTGTTTCCCGGGCTCTCTTCCACACATCAATCTTTATGTACTTGGCATTTCTCCCTCTACTCCCTCGCTGCTTCCTGATATCTGTGTTTTTGCGTGTCTTCTCTTCCCCTTCCTTTCCTCACTTCCTCTCCTTTGCGTATTGCTCGTATTGTCCTATTTCCCTTAAGTATACTTCTCCCCCCCGTTTCGTTCTCTCATTTCCCCACACGTGCTGCGAGGATGTCGATGGAACAGTTGATGGCCCTTGTGCCTCTTGAGGCAGCCCTAACCCACAAAGAAAAGGGTAGAAAATCCCGATGGGAGAAATCTAAAAAGAGCGCGGATGGAAGCAGATGGGGATCGGAAAATGTGAGACGAGAAGAAGTACTTCCTCAAAATGGGGTTCCTACGATTCCATTCCATACATAGCCCTTTTAACTGGTTGATACTTGGTGGTTCGTTGCAGCCGGAGTTTTATGAATGATGTGGTATTCTTGCTTTGATGCTGACCTGATATCTACAATGTTTCTGATTCAAATTGTTGCTTTCTTTTTTTGTTACGTGTTTCTTGTTGCTAACATTCCCAGGACAAGCCTTTTCTTCCTCCTCCCTTCGTGGACCTGCCCATTGGGATGACTCCTCTCCAAGTTGATCGCTTCCTAAGAGAACAGCGGATTGACGAACTCTACAGGAAGCTCAATGCCGGAATACTGGAGTTCTTCGATGCCGATATCAGGCCGCCCTCTCCCCCCCCTATATACGACAAGAACGGAGGAAGGGTGAACACTAGAGACGTCAGAGTGAGGACTGCAATGCAAAACGAAGTCCAAAGATTATGCGAGTTCATGGTCAACAATCTTGAGGGGTTTACCCCACCTTCGGACTTCCGACCCGCAAAAAAAATAAGAAGAATCGAGTTTCCCCATGAAAAGGTGTGCGGAAAGTCACGAACCAACGAAGTTAAAACGCAGCCTCAAGCTTTTCCAGAGGGAGGGGCAAGAGGAATGCAGAGACAGGGAGCAAGACAGAATATGGGGATTAAGGGTCAGGATCTGATGTCGCTGTTTTCAAAGCCAAGTAGAGATACAGCAGGACTTGTGGATTCTCTATTGTTTGTCATGATGCGTGCCATGTCGTTGCATGCTGCCTGTGTAATTCTCAATTCTATTTGCATTTTTGAGCGTATTTGCAGCCTCTTTGTGCTTTTGAATTTGTGAGCACTTTGTGTTGTTGTGTTTTGCGGTGTCAGTACCCCGACTACAACTTTATGGGTATCATTATCGGGCCCAGGGGCTGCAACCACAAGCGGCTCGAGGCCGAGAGTGGGTGCACCATTTCCGTCAGAGGCAGAGGCACCCAGGTACACCGCGCCTTTTATTCTTTTCCGTATACTTTCCCCCCGCCTTCGCTTTGCTTCATCTTCTGCGGTGCAGCACCTTCGTGGAACGCCTCTCCTGTTTCTGTAGGGCCCTCAACATTACATTGAGTTCCAAAGTTTTCTGCAAGGTTTGGTTTTGCTATGTGTATAACAGAAAGAAGGGAAGAGGGATCACCAGACGGATGAAGAGGCTTCCATGCCGATGCACGTTCACATCATAGGGGACACAGATGAAGCAGTTGAGGTGTGTTGGATTGCCAGTATTGTGTGTCTTCGTCTAGTTTTCGTGACCTTGCTGCTTCTTCTATACTGAGTCCTTCATTATTACTGTCCTCCCCTCCTATGCCCTTTTTGGTCCTTTTCTAGGCACTAATGTGCCCCCACCACCCAGGCGCTCTCGCCATTCAACTCTGTGTAGATTCCTTCCCCTTCGTTTTCTCACTTTGTCTTTTCAAACGCCTATAGTATTTGTTCGTCTTGATATCTCTCTTATTTTCCCTCCACGTTCATCATATATGTCGCTTGCCTTTCGTTTTGGCTGTCTCTGCTTAGCGCGCGGTTGCTCTGATAGAGCCCCTCTTGGACCCCCTCCATCCAGCACACGAGGAGTTTAAGCGGCGGGGTCTCGAGCAGCTTGCTTTAGTTAATGGTGTCAACTACAGTGACTTGGATCAGAGGAGATGCGCCATTTGCCAGGCTTTGGGACATTCGGGTGAGTAGGGAGAGGCGTCTAATGAAATGTGCAAGCCTTAAATAGAAGAACCTGTGGACGCCTTCGGAGTAGACGCACGCCGTCGTATTGTTATCTTCTTCACTCTAGGAGAAAATGTAGTGTCTGCTTTATTTTCCGCTCTCGTTTGCGTGGTGGCTGAACTGCGCGCAGCACATGAATGCCCGGATAACCAAGACCTGCAGCCATTCAAGAAGCCTCAGGTGGTAGGCACCCTCGAGCCATTCAAGTTGCCAGCGTGCTTGGTTTTTGGCACGCCTGAAATTTGCCTGTGAATCTTCGCCGTGTTGAGAATCTGGTGCAAGAGGTTGCCCGTAGCCACCGGGTCAAGGCAAGATGCGTCAGGATGCAGTCCTGTGAAATGCTTTGGGTGTAGATGTACTTGCTCTGCTCCCGTTTTTCGTTAGAGAACTATGCGCCGTTGTACTCACTGCGGCTTCTCTGCTGCATCGACTGTACTCAAGTCGTTAGTTAAATGTGTTTTCGCGAGCAAGATTAGATATTCTCGCTGTAATCGCCATATTCCATCGCCTTCCCCTGGGAGCTTTCTGCTTCTTCTGCGTTGTGCTTCAGCGCTGCGCCATCTGTGGGGACTTGGGTCACGTTACGATGGACTGCAAAATGAGACGGCCTGATGGCTCGGGGGCCCCTGGGGGCCCCCCAGGTGGCTGCCCCCCCCCTCCACCTCCTATAGGTGGTAGGCAGAGACCTCCACATCGGAGCGGCGCAGACTATCACAAGATGGACATGGTGAGGCGGAAAATCGTGGAGTGTAGCGACACTGCATCGTTCAGTGAGAGGCCAAGAGCCAATACTTTGAGTGGGGCTATGTAGAGTTTAGTACTTTTGGACCTGCTGGTCCAGCCCTTTTTGAAGAGTCCTGCTTCGCCGTTGGATGGCAATGACTAAAGTTGTCTTCCGCTTTCACGCGCTTGCGTCTCCTTTCCCAGTCTTTTTTATTCTCTGCACATTTGGCAACCCTTCGGTCTTCTGCCCTACGTATAATCTGACGCCTGCTTTTTATTGCAGGAGTATAGGAGAATGATGGATGAACTAACAGGCGAAAAGTCGGATCTTGGGGCTTTGGACGCGCCAAGACCCCCTCCGGGCCCAGGAGGCCCTCAGCGCACCCCCGTGGGAGCCTCTCCTGCTTCTCAGATGTATACGCCACCCCCTGGCATGTCTCCTGCCGGCGCAGATGGCTATCCACCCTCCCCGTATGCTGGGCGGCCCCCTCCTCCTCCCGCAGTTGTAGGATCAGGGAGAATGGGGGGGCCCTCCAACATGATGCCAGTTGGCCCCGGAGGTGCTGCCCGTGGACCGTGGGGGGGGCCTGCAGGGGGCGCTATGCCAATGGGCGGTGGCATGCCCTGGGCAGGAAATCACATGAGGCCCCCTATGATGCCAATGGGTGCCCCTCCGGTCGGTAAGTGCAGCACTTTCTTCATGGAGCTGGAACATATCGTTCGTACAAAACGATTCTTTCGTATTTTACACACATCAGCTGCCCTAGTATCCATCCTTAGTCTATGCCTTGGAAGTTGTGGGATTGTGCTGATCAGGCATGCCGTGGCCCATGCAGCCCATGATGCCCTTTCCTCCGGCGCAACAACATTTCGGTGGCGATGGCGGAATGTCAATGATGGGTGTGATGTCTATGTGCTGCTGCCCTGCGTTTTTGTACCTTGTTTATCTGTCGGCTGCCGTTGTTGCCCCCTGCTACTATCTTGTACTGGCGTTGCAGTGCACGCTCGTAATAATGAATTCTCTCCAAATAATTCGCCCCGTTAAGCGGTGCAGTCTTTAACCTGTCTTGTCTTCCTCATGTGCGCTGTATATGAGGGACTCCTGCTAAGCGGCAGCGTTACAGGGAGCCCTTCGTATATTTCATCCTTTTCGTCGTTATGTATGGGCCGGTTCGCTCCTCAGGCATGTGGGGAGGACCCATGGCCCCCTCGATGGGATATACTCCGACGTCAAATGGCGGCCAGTGGCAGCAGCAGATGCCCCAGGGTACTGGAGTTCCTATGGGCAATCATCAGAGTGCCCCGGGAGTCCCTCCTGGGGGCCCCCCAGGAGGCCCAATGCCGCCTTCTATTCCTCCACCTTCCGCTCCATCGATGCCCCCACCGCCGATGCCTGCCGGCAGTGCCAGCGCCGACCCTGACAGCATGGAATTTGGAGACTGACGGGTTGTGTGCTTAGGTGTGGTTGCTTTGGTTGCTTGTATGTCCTTTGTCTTCTGCGTGTTGATACACCAAACGTGACGCGGCAAAATCAATCTTTGAAGCCATAAGAAAATGCCAGTGCAGCCCAGGAATTTATTATGACTGCTTATTGCATCACCCGCAGCTTCCAACTCCTCGTCCGCTCTTTTTTGCTCCTTCGTTGCCGCTGGAAGAATCGGCCAGCGGGCAGTAGCCACTACATCTTGCAACTGACGTTGATAGGCTGCGTCGCAGTTGTCTTAGTAGGGTCCCTTCAGGTTTATTGCTATCTGAAATCAAAGTGCTTAAGCATGGAAATATGTGAACGCAGTCTCCGCGTTTTGAGGGTTCCTTTTGGCTGGGTGCACTGAGGCCCAAGAGAATATTCCTTGAGGCACGCCTGTGGTTTGCCGTTTTTTGACGGGTAAAAGTCAACTATACAACTTGTGGGCATAATAAGTTGGTGTGTTGGATTTAGCTGCCTGGACAGTTCGACGTTAGGCCTGGCAATGCCTTCGAAGGAACATACCTTGAACAGTCACGGGGGAAAAAAGTTCGTGGTTCGCACAAGGGTCTCACTTGCCTCTGCTCTGCCGCCCTTCTGTTTCGATAGGAAACGACGAAATGGGGACAGAAAGTCCAGGAGGGAAGAGGAATGCAAATTGTATAAACTATTGGTGGACAGAATGTAGATACAGAGCGGGAAGACAAGGAGTGGGGGGTATCTAGTCGAGCTAGGATGCAGGGTTTTACGTAATCTTTCCAATCTTCAAAGAGCACTGCAATGGTACAAGAAAGTTGGCCAGCCAGAGACGCTTCATAAGACCATTTGGACCAGCATCACAGAAGCGTGGCACTGTACCGGGATTACCTCATTAGTTGCAGTCACTTGGTATCTTAAGGCAAACCCAAAAGGTGACGCCTGAAGACCCCCAAACAATAGTTTCCGACATTATTGAAGGTGGTCAGCAAGTCATTATGAAAGAAGTTCCTTCGTAAAGCACGAATCTTTCGGCACGTGCATGAGGAAACCCCACTTCAATGCAGCACACGTTACAGCTCCGTCAGCTTCTTTCTTATGTGCAGCTCGCTTGCGTGCTTTTCTCCAATGGTCTGTCTCCTTTTCTCCTGCTCCCTGCCTTCCTTTGCATCCCTCTATCTCCCTGCAAACTCAGCGGCTTAGACTGCACGGGTGCTTCTTTTTTTGGCATGCAACAAGGAACACAAGTAAGTCACAATTCTACTCGGCGCGAAGGCGTACAGTGCAAACACCAGATAGCAACGACGCTGTGTCAAATTTGTTATTCATCTAAAATGTGATCTTATTGACTATACAAGCTCCCGGCCAGGTGTTCTTATTGGTGCTATTATGGCACACGGAACCACTCATAGTCAGTATTTTTGCTAGTCTACCAACAGAAGGGAGACTGCTACCGCCTGCTGGTGCCGCAGCACACGCCGCTTGAATGTAGCTGCCTTCTATACGTAGTCATTGAGGGCCTGTGTGCACCAAACGTTTTCCCCATGGCTGTTCCAACCGACAACCTAATTATCTTGGACCTCAAAAATGGCTGACGGTGATCTGCCGAAGTGAAGCAGGGCATAGTCTACTTATGTAGTTTCCTTCTGACTGCGATGCAAGCGCCGTTTCCAGCCAATAGAGGCCCAAGCTTGATTCGGAGAATTGTACTTCTGGTGCACAGCAGCAAGCTGACCTCCATGCTTGCAGTAACCTTTTCCATCTAAGCATAAATTGTACGTAAATCGCGTGCCCTTTATACGACTAGGTGCAGCTTCCAACCTATCCTCTGAGTATAATTGTAAAGGAAAGCCGGATTATGCTTACACAGACGATTTCTTGTGTATCGGCAATGTTACAATTAAGAAAATGAAGGGAATAGGAACATAAGCTCGTCAAACGCAAAGGGGCACCGTGGCCCACCAGCGAATTTTGTAATATGATGTCCGCACTTCTGCAGATCCTGAATAGAGATGCCCGCAATAGCTTCTAGCCGGACAAAAAGCCCAGTAGGGATTACAACACCCCAACATAGCATAGAGCAAAGCGGTCCGTGCTGTATTTGCCTATCTGTTCACCGTTTTCCTTTTCGTTGCCTCCTTGCGTGCCACTTCAATGCCCTTCTCCAATCCCCCTCTGTTCTTTCGAGGATGCAGACGGCACACGATCTGTGCTGCAAGCATGCATGCACCTCCTTGTCGGCGAGGCAACCTCACGGGCCGCAGCTGTCCATTCAGTGGACAGTGCGCATTTCCCCTCCCACAACAAACTGCAATAGTATGAATGAAGAGAACTTTGTAGGGCAGCAAGCCGCTGCACCCATGGGCAGCGCCGGAAGCTCCCACTGCCAACAGCTGTTCCCTCAGCGTTCTCTGTCCCTGCCTGACACAACTTTCCTAATCCCCGCTGCCCGTCCAACATACAAATCTACTTGAGAGGAAAGCACGGCAGAGCGCAAAAGGTCATCCAACAGAGAGACGAAAAAAGAAGGGAGCTGAAGATAGCGGTAGGCAGTATTTGACCCTCCTTTTCTACAGAATCACATCCCCGCCTTCGCACCACTTGTACCTCAAACTACCGATATGGCTGGCTCTATGAAAGATGGCCCCGTCATAAAACAACCCCCTACACCGCGACTCCTTCGAAAGGCCCTCCATCAAGGATCTCCCTTTATAGGAGCGTCCTCAGAAATAGCCTCACAGCAACGTCGTGTGGGAAGTAGGATCCTCCTTCGAACCCCCAGCGCCGCCCTGACCCTTTAGAGTATGCGCGATTCAGAGGGTAGAACGGACAGAATGTGAAAGAGGGTCGCAGACTGTCACGATGGAGGCACGTTCATGCCTCGAAGTTCAGCGATATCATGTTGAAGGCTCGCACCGATTTTCCTAGCGTGGACGCACGTGGAGAAGTACTGGCCGGCAGTTTGAAGGCTCCTATGGAGTCGCGTGTATGTTCGCGTAACGAGGAGAGGATAGACCAATGAAGCCATGATAGCCATTCGCAATTCGCTATAATATTCTTGGAGGTACTCCAGGGCATCGAGGGAGTAGCGGGAAAGCCGCGTAAAAGACATCAAGATCTTCACTACTGGAGTGCTGAAATTGCGATCCTTTCCGATCTCGGTGCAAAAAAGCTTGCTGCTCTCACGAACCAGAGTGGAAACCTGAGTCAGCTTTCCCTTTATGATGAAAAAGACACCAAGGGTATGAAGGGCCTTGGTCTTCCTCATTTCGATGTCCGAGCTGGGGGAGCCTCGGGAGGTGACCACCGGCACACCACTCAGGTACAAAAGCCGCTTGCTGCACACGTCAACATCCATGACCGTGGATAGCAGGGCAGACGTGTACTCGCGCATGCGTCCTTCCAGGTCGGGGAGAAACAGCTGCGTAGCCCACTCGAGGGTAGTCAAGTAGCTGCTAAACAGCTCCTGCGTATTGAATGGGTCAAACAGATACATGGCCGCCTCAACGTGCCAGTACTCTAGCACATCCTGAACTTTGCTGCTACTGAAATGAGGGAGGTTGAGGGACTGCCGCACGATCTTCTTGGGGTCTACAGGACTCCCCCTGCTCATCAGATTGGTGTGACCCCCGTCGGCAACTGCTGGGAGTTCACCATGCCCCGCATGGAGATCAGCGAGCAAAGAAGCCTGATTTTGGGGGTGTGCAGACTGATCGGCGTACGCGGGTGGCTGCGGATACGTCGGCTGGGCAGGAGGCACGGTGGACTCCGCGTTATGAGGAGCAGTAACGGTGCCGTTTTCTCCCTTCGTGCGGCGTTTAAATATGCCTGCACACAAGGAGCAACTGCATCCCAGAGAAAATGATGCCATCGCGTCTCAGAAGGCAGCACAAGCCACATATGAGGAGAGATAGATACATGCAATCCTATGCCCTGTACACGCCCATCAATTTCACTTGTACGCACGCCTTAGGGCCCAAATCTACACGAGCATGCTGCTATATAACATGGCTTACCCTTGATCCGCCTGCCCAGTTTTTTAAGTAGGCCCGGTGAAGGATCTGGTACTGCTGCATTTGGCGATGCTGAAGTTGATACTGCTGTATTTGGTGCGCGTGCTGCCGCTGCCACCACCTTCAAACCATCCTCCATAATCGCTACATGAAGCGATCCATCTTCAACCAACAAAAGAACAACCGACACGACGCATACCCAGAACAGCCGAAGTCTGCTAAAAAGGGGGCACAAATGCATTGCGCAAAGCCACGTGGGGCACACGGAGAAGCTGAGCTGTTGCTGATGCTGTTTCTGCTTCCGCTGCAGATGCAGCTTTCACCGCTGTCTCTTACAACGCACAGAAATCTGTTTTCCTACATTCGGATATTAAACTCCGGGCAAACCCCATGGGAGGGACTCTTTTTACAGCTGATTTACGGGTCAAGAACACAAAGGAGCACAAGTACTTCCTGCCCTAGCTGGAGAGTACTTGCTACCGAATACTTTCAAGAGGAGAACAGGGAGTACCGGCCTGTACTCCTCAAAGGCGGACCTCAATCTACGGATGATGCAGGTGCTCAAGGTGCTGCTGCGGGTGGCATTGCTTGCGGTGGTGCTGCCGAGTTGCAGCGCTCGCACGGCTTCAGCCGCTGCAAGCCACTTCTCTGCCGACGTTGCAGCAGTTCACGGCTTCACCAAGAACTTTCTGAAATCCTGCTGATGGAAACTTGTGAAAGAAAGAGACGCCGCCGCTCACTGAAGGCACGCTCACCACCTGTCTGGTGGCCATCTACAGCTGCGGTGACTGTAAAACGGAGGGAAGCGCTATGAATAAAGGCAGTAGATTCAAACTGAAGGGAGAATGAGAGCGATTTTGGCAGGCATCAAGAGACGAAAAGCTTATGAATAAGTGAGAATGCCTCCTGCATGCGGCAGGCTGGGGAGAACACCGCACGATTCAAGATGAATATGCACCACCGTGTAGTCAATAACTCCTTCAACTATGATTACTCTCGCACGCTCAAAATTGAAAGGGGGAAATGGGCTTCAGCTCTTGGTGCGACTGGCAGGGTAGCTCCAGGCGCCCATCATCGGGGAGTATGTGGCCAGCAGCCGCGATCATCTCTCGGGGTTGGTGGTTCGGTTTCTTCGTAGAGAATACTACGCCTGCGACGTTATTTCGACCACATGAAAATATACAGCAGAGGCTAGCAGCTGCCCACCAGGTAGGGGTATAGTGCAATTAGAGCGCCTCGATGTAGTATGGCGTTGCTGGCAGTGGCCTTACTGAATAGCTGCCAGACAGCTTTCTCGTACCCCACCATACAAAGAATCAACTAGCATTGATAAATGCTATACCAAAGAGCCTTCTACCCTTTGCAAGCTCTGCATGCAAGTTGGGTCAAATCGTAGAAAGTGCTGGAAAGACGAGCCTGCTACGGCTTAGCTTCACAACTCCATTCTACTGCACGACTAATATTTGACTAAGAATCAAAGAAAAAGTTGACGAAATGGCTTGTATGCTCTTATATATTATCTATTATGAAGCTAAAGTGGCTTGATACAGCACGGCGCAATATGTGCATGTGCGCTGAATGCTATTTGCATATGGATGTGAATGCTGGGAGTGCTTGGAGGGTAAAACAACCCACATCCTAGTAGTGTCTCTCCAGATAAGGAGGTCTGAGAGGTGGGGGGAGTGAATTCAGGAGTCTGCAGTCATGTCTTTTCTAAAGGAGTCCACACATACAACGCTACTAGCAGCGATATGTGTCTTATCGCAATCGGAATGGAAGCTAACGCTCATATCGTTTACGTCCCTTCATAGTGCACGACCAAATACTCCATGCGCTTCGTTTTCTGAGTTAATTGCACAGCTGTACCGTCGGGATCAATATATCAAGGGCTATGTTTGTAAAGCTCGACTTAATGTCTCCATAAGAAGACAATTCTAGACTAAATGATTCTCCAATAGAAAGGTACGAAGCGTTTTGAAAAACACAACTTCCTCATTCCCTTGCCCACTCTTCTCACACCCATCGATGTGGGCGGAACAAGACAGCTCGGCTGCGTACCTGTGCCCACTGAGCTTCCAAGCGCTCACAGCTAGTTGCATGCAGCATCTAGCGCAGACGTACACCAGCATTTATCTGCTAGTATTGAGCCAAGATCACTCTGAAAATAAATAGGATATTTGAAAAACCAAGCCCATCAGTCAACGCCTGACTTATTCGTTGTCAAGCAGGACGAATGTAGTGAAGAGTTTCGAGGGACAGCTTAGCATTTCACATCTTTTCCTTTATTTCAAAGGCACGCCCTTATCTTCCGCTCATGAACCTCAAGAGCAGCCGTCTGCAGGACAGCGAATGAGTTTACCCCCTATCGCCACTCCGCAGGCAGGCAAAACGCAAAGTAGTGCAAACGGGAAAAGCAGATCTGTTTAGCGTTTTCATGACGAGAAATCAATAGTAGCAATGGCACAAGCACTAGCCAACAATAAGCGAACGACCAGGCCAACACGACCAGGGCGGCCCAATGGCTTTTTTTGGCGGAACGCCGAAATGAGTCTGTTAAGAGAAGGCAGAATACAAGGAAGATTAGACATAAAAAGAATAAATATCCCGCCTGCTCAGCAGTGGCTTTACATAGCATAGAGCAATGTGCACGCAGATACAGGCGGTTCATAAAGCATAGTTGGTTCCATTCGCCAGATGAGGCAAAAGAAGAATGTAAGGGAGCCATATCCAAGAATGACTGCGCATCAAACTGAGTGTAGAGAACTCTTTGGCAGTGATAACAAGCAACTTTCAAGCAGTGGCCATAGATACAGGTAGCTACTTGAAAAAGTCATGCACTGGGGAAGACGGTCTCTCAAGGAACGCAAGGAACACTGTTAAGACCGACCAGCGTTGTAAATCAACGGGAGAGGCTAATCTTTTTGCAGGCAAGGAATCCCGCAACTGCTTCCCCGCTAGCCGCAGAGGTTGGCATTCCCCTTCCTTTTTTATTAGAGACTCCCGCCTTGTGAGTCCTCGGCATTCACTAGTCCTGAAAGCTAGCACTTTTCTGGCATTCTATGTATCCTCTGCCTCCACAAGGACCACTTGTATGCATTGCAGAGCGCACATACAACTCGGAGCAGCATTTTAATCTTCATTTGGAATCACCATGGATAGTTTGTGGGCTCCTACTTCCTGAGGACTTCGATAGAGAAGGAAAGAGCGTTGATACGTGAGAAAACCGCGAAAGGTCCAAGCTAACCGGCCGCTAGCTTGCCTTGTCACCCGATGTTTGATCTCAATTCCTCCTAAACCACAAGGGACAAAATTCGAGACGCGAAACAAGTGCCAACCACCGCTCACCATGATCCGTGCTGGTCTCTCTTCAGCTTCACTCAATCATTCGCACGCACTAGTCTAGTATTATTTGAATCCCTTTGCCTCTTAGGGTAGCTGCTGACCCAGGACCTCTAGCTCCAGGCCCAGACTGGAGGCGGGCTCCTCAGTGTGGACCAGGGGCACGGGTGAGCAACAGGTAGACGAGTGCACTGCTGCTCTATAAATCCACGTAATACAAGAAAAAATTCATGCTGTGAACTTCGATTCTTGGGCATAGAGCTGCGAGTACCACAGAAGAGTGTGACTGGTGCGCATTATGGTCAACGTGTATGTGGGTCTTGTAGGCACTCTATAACGCACATAAGAGGTTAAGATTCTTATGCGTATCGATACCCCGGAAGAACCTTAGAGCTTTTATTGACAAGCATCTATTGAACGACATTCTAAGCAGTGACAAAGTTGGCACAAGGGTAGAATGGGCATATTTGCAAAGGCTGTCTTCAACGACGTCCTATCCTGACGTTTAATATCTGGTGGTTCAGCATTCATGCCCATGGTCAGATCCGTTCAAAGCACTCAGGACTCAAAAGACTTTGCAAAAGGTTAGAAGAAGTAAGCATTTTTAGAAGCTGACAATCTGGGCATGACAGTACATAATCGTCTGTCGTGGGACGCCTCGTAAGCCAACGGAAAAACCTTAAAAGCCTTCGCTGTAGTGTAAATCCCATCACGGCCCGAGAGCATGAGCATGTGCCTTGCGCAAAAAGGCGCTGCGCACTTAAGTCTGAATGTGAAAAGGACGAAGTCCTGCTTTGCTTTTGGCAGCATAGGCAATCCTCCACGTGGTAGTATTTCACCATTTCGCCTTTTTGAGTATTCGTAATAGAAGCTCATGCACAGACGTACAAAGCATAAGACTTCTGCAGTTTCGCTAGATTTCGTGACTTTTTTCGTGGACAAGAGTGGTCGCACTGCACAAGAGTCAAGCGTTGGAAGGGCGCGAGAGCAATGACCAGTTTGGGGATGCCTTGAATATGCTACGCTGTAGCGTAATATTGCAGGGTGTAGCCAAGCCACCGGAGGGGTCTAGAACTTTCCCGGGTCTGAAAAATCTTTGCAAGGTGTATTAATGACAGATGGTCGGTGTGAACACTAAACGACACCGATATAATCAGGTCCGGAATTTTTTTCACCCCTCCAAACCTCAGAGAGTTCCCCTTCCGCACTGATTATCGCTGCTCGGTTTCGGTCAAATGATGTGAATAACAAGCAATAGCTTGGTATTTTCACGAGCTCGGGGCCTGCTGCGATAAATTTGCACCCACTGCTACGCCCCTTGCATTGCTTGCACGAAAGAAATGACACTCATTATCGGGCAGTCCAAATACAGGAAAACTTGTAAGGTGGCTTAATAAACGTCCTTGCTGCGTCATCAGCATCTCCTGGGCAGCTAGTAGACTGAGGTTTCTTGACTAGATTGCTTAAAGGAGCAGTGGCCAGAGCAGATCAAGGGATATCATGTCGGTAATAAGATGCA